TCACGTAACAGTTACGATTGCCAATTATAACGTTTCATTAATGTCAGTTAATGACTCATGATGGCTCAATTATGAGAGGAAAGAGGCATTGACTTAGAGATAGCTATAAAAGGAAGAGAAATGACATTTGTATGGATACATTCTGATTACTATTGGAATATACTTAGTTTACTTTGCTTTATATCGATTGCTTTGCTATTTCTCATTCTAATTTTCCTTTCCATTGCAAAATATCTTTTAGTTGATTACTTCTAAAAATAAGCTTTGACCAAAATTCCTATTTTCTGGTTAAGCAAATTGGTTCCGTTACCGGGAATCTGATAATCTTCTCACTTTCCAAATCCATTCTTCTGTCAAAAAACCATGTCGAACGTCAACGACAACGACCAACAAAACTTATAAAACCAACAAAAAATCAGCTAAATCAACAAGGAGACGGAACTCAGCAGCATCAGTTGAATCAGCTAAATCAACAAGGAGATGGAACTCCAATCCCCTCACCACGAAACTCTCCTCGACAATCTCGAGAAGGGACTCCTGACAGATCTGAATCGAATACGAATGACCAGCATGAGAACAATCAAGCTATTGATGCAACGTTGAAGCAATTAATCGCCCAACAGGTCAACAATGCTCTTCAAGCTTTTGTCAGCAGGTTGCCGACTATACCTCCACCTCCAAACAACACTGCAACCATAGAAAATCCCCGCTCGGGACTCGCTAATTCAGGCAGCGGAGGAACTCCCAGCGAATCTCGTGGTGGGGGGTCAGGTAACCCAGTTAATTCTGACATACAAAGTTTAGTACTAACTTTGCAGAAGCAGCTCAAGGAACAGAGCGATCGCATAGAGCAGATACCTGGTGTACCACCAAGGAGATACGGAGTTGCTCAGGGAATTCGTAGACAGATTCCAGTGTGAAAGGATGATGTTGCCACGTGTACCTGATAACTGGGCGGCTATGGCATTTGCCAGTAATCTAAATAAAAAAAGCTCGGAAGCCACGAGAAGACTCAAAGAAAGCTTACGAGAATTTCCCGCAACAACTTGGAATGACGTTTACAATAGATACAACACAAAGCTGCGGATAGAAGAAGATACTATCACTCAGTGTTGGAAAGATGAAAGAGTAAGTTCAAGGCGGGTAGAAACTGAAAAAAGGTCCGGTAAAAACAGGTACGAACCTTATATGGGACCAGCAGGAAGGGATTCACGTTCAGAATAGGAAAACCCAAGATATGACCCTAGATCAAGGGACAGAGAATCGGGTTCATCGTCAAGGTTCAGAAAGGAGCGAAACATGCGAGATACGCGAGACGACGATAGAGGTTCAAAAGCAAAAATTGGTGGTTACAGTTTTAATGTTAGCACATCCGAGTTGGTGGCTGTTTTAAGAAGCATGGGAGATAAGGTACGGTGGCCAAAAGAAATGAGATCGAACCCAAACAGGAGAAATCCCGGTTTTTGGTGCGAGTTTCACAACGATCACGGTCACAAAACGGATTGCAGATTGCTACAAGGTGAAGTAGAGCATCTATTAAAACAAGGTTACTTAACAGAATTGTTTAGTGAAAAGGGAAAGCAAGCATATATGAAGAATAGGCAAGAACCGCCGAAACCTCCATCACCAAAGAGAACGGTTAATGTCATAAGTGGAGGGGAGGAGATCAATGGCGTAACATATACGGCAGCAAAGAAGGTGTCAAAAATCACAGTCACCCATGGGAAACGAGTTCGTCAAGTTTTGGAAGAAGATAGTATAACATTGATGATGCATATGTAGATGGCGTGCTGACCCCACACAATGATGCACTGGTATTATCTTTACTTGTACATGATACTAACGTAAAACGAGTTTTGATTGATCCAGGTAATTCTGTAAATATCATTCTGTTAAGAGTGGTAAACGAGATGCAAGCCATTGATAAATTGGTATCAAAAGCACGGACCTTGTCTGGTTTTGACAACTCCAGCGTTGTAACAAAAGGGGAGATAATACTCATCACATTCGCGGAAGGAGTAGTCAAAGATACCAAATTTCAAGTGATAGAAATGGACATGGCGTACAATATGATTCTCGGCAGACCGTGGATTCACGAAATGGATGTTGTTCCGTCTACCCTACACCAAGTTATCAAGTTTCCTTCACAATGGGGAATACGACAAATCCGTGGTGATAAACAGGCTTCTCGAAGCATTAACTCAGTGCCAGATTCAAGCACGAAAAGCGACGAAAAATAGCAATTACAGAATTTAGTTGAGGATTTAGCAACGCAAGCCTCAACTATAGACGGACAAACAGATGTAGACTCAAGACCTGATACTATTCAAGAACCAGAAGAAAATGAAAACATCAAAACAACAATCGAGGAACTGGAAGCTTTGGTATTATTTGTACATTGGCCAGACAGAAAAGTCTACATTGGAACCAACCTCAGCCCGGAGATGAAAAGTAAGTTAATTGAATTTTTAAAAGCTAACGCAGATTGCTTTGCTTGGTCGCATTCAGATATGACAGGTATACCACCGGAGGTAATGACCCATAAGCTGAATGAAGATCCAACATATCCACCTGTCAAACAAAAGAAAAGGAAGCAAGGGTCCTTCAAGAATCAGGTGATTCAGGATGAAGTACAAAAGCTCTTAAAAATCGGGTCTATCCGCGAGGTAAAATATCTTGATTGGTTAGCTAATACTGTATTAGTGCCCAAAAAGAATGGTAAGTGGCGAGTTTGTGTAGACTATACTGATTTAAATAAAGCTTGCCCTAAAGATTCTTTCCCATTACCGCACATAGATGAACTAATTGATGCTACTGCGGGACATGAGCTATTAAGTTCTTTAGATGCCTATTCAGGATATAACCAGATAAAAATGGATCCTCTAGATGAGGAAAAAACTTCCTTTATTACAGACAGGGGGACTTACTGCTATAAAGTTATGCCATTTGGTCTAAAAAATGCTGGGGCCACGTACCGGAGGCTAGTGACCAAGATGTTTCAAGAACATCTAGGAAAAACCATGGAGGTTTATATAGATGATATGCTAGTCAAATCACAACAAGCAGGGGATCATATTCAACACCTGTCAGATACGTTTCAGATTCTCCACAAATTCAACATGAAGTTAAATCCTGAGAAATGTGCATTTGGCGTGTCGTCAGGTAAATTCTTGGGATTCCTCGTTTCTAACCGTGGCATTGAAGTAAATCCCACACAGATTAAGGCTATTGAAGAAATACCAGATATACTTACGAGCAAAAAAAAGTGCAGAGGTTGACAGGTAGAATAGCAGCGTTGGGAAGATTTATTTCCAAATCATCGGAAAAATGCTTTAAGTTCTTTTCATCCTTGAAAAAGCAAAGTCAATTTGAATGGTCTGAAGAATGTCAACAAGCGCTCAAAAATTTAAAAGCGTACTTATCAAACCCACCATTGCTGGCCAAACCAAAGGATGGGGAAAAACTACTCAACTACCTCGTTGTTTCGGAAGTGGCGGTAAGTGCAGTATTAGTTCGAGAGGACCAAGGTAAACAATCTCCAATTTACTATGTTAGCAAGTCTCTGTTGGATGTCGAAACTCGATATCCTCATTTAGAAAAACTTGCACTAGCATTAATTATGGCATCTAGAAAATTAAGGCCTTATTTTCAATGTCATCCTATCTCTGTAGTAACTGCCTACCCCTTACGTAATATATTGCATAAACAAGAGTTATCAGGTAGGTTAGCCAAATGGGCTATAGAACTAAGTGAATATGACATCACATACCATCCTAGAACTGCAATAAAGTCACATGTTTTAGCAGATTTTGTGGCAGATTTTAGCCCAGGGATGGTAGCAGAGGCAGAAAAAGAACTGCAGGTATTTAACAGGTCTAATCCAGGTACTTGGACCTTATTTACCGATGGCTCTTCAAATGTAAAAAGAGCAAGTTTAGGCATTGTCCTGATCCCACCTGCGGGAGAGACTATACGACAAGCCATAAAATGCCATCCTATTACTAATAATGAAGCAGAATATGAAGCTGTGATTGAAGGTCTAGAATTGGCACGAGAGCTCGGAATAGAGCAAGTCATAATCAAAAGCGACTCGCAACTAGTAGTTAACCAAATGCAGGGGACTTATATAGCTAGAGAGGCAAGGATGCAGCAATATCTGGAAAAGGCACGAGATTTAATTAGACAATTCCAAACTTGGAAAATTGTGCAGATACCAAGAGATGAGAATGCCGAAGCAGACGCGTTAGCTAATCTTGCATCCGCTGCAGAAGTGACAAATGAAGAGAACGCTTCTGTAATACATTTGTTTCATTCGGTACTCGACCAAGATAAAAACGAGTTACATTTCAATAATTTAACTTGGTATTAGAGAAACGAGATTGTCAGTTTTTTGCAGTACGGAATACTACCTGAAGATAAGAAAAAGGCTCAGGCACTTCATCGAAAGGCTGCTTGTTACTGTTTAGATCGGGGCAATCTATATCGAAAAATATTCGGCGTCCCTCTAGCAAGGTGTCTCGGACCTTCTCAAACGAATATGTGATGAGGGGAGTACATGAGGGACATTGTGGAAATCACGCCGGAGGAAGATCCTTGGTGAAAACTTTAATTAGAGCAGGGTACTACTGGCCAAAAATAGAAGAAGAATCAGAAAATTTTGTGGCTAAATGTGACAAGTGCCAAAGGTATGGTAACAATATGCAGCGACCAACAGAATTATTACATCCGGTTGTTGCACCATGGCCTTTTATGAAGTGGGGGATGGATATCGTGGGTCCATTACCACAAGCCAAAGGCAAGGTACGATTTTTATTAGTACTCACTGATTATTTTACTAAGTGGGTAGAAGCAGGTGCCTTCAAACAGGTACGAGAAAAAGAGGTCAGAGACTTCATCTGGCGAAATATCATATGCCAGTTTGGAGTTCCAAAAGAGATCGTGTGCGATTATGGCCCGCAGTTCATAGGTGCACAAATTATAGAATTCTTTCAAAGTTGGCAAATTAAAATGATTACTTCGACACCTTATCACCCAGTGGCCAATGGACAAGCTGAATCAACAAATAAAGTTATTATTAATAACTTGAAGAAAAGACTAGAGGAGTCAAAAGGCAAGTGGCCAGAGGTGCTACCTGGAGTCTTGTGGGCTTACCGAACAACAGCAAAAACAAGTACGGGAGAGACACCATTCTCACTTGTGTACGGTGCTGGAGCCTTAATTCCAGTTGAAATAGGGGTGCCAAGTACGAGATACGCTTAAGCAACCGAAGAGTCAAATGAAGAGGAGATGCGGGTAAATCTCGATTTGCTTGAAGAAAGGAGAGAAACAACTTTGATAAGGATGGCTGCGCAAAAATAAGTTATTGAGCGATATTACAATCGGAAAGCTAGTCTTAGATACTTCAAGATTGGGGACTACGTACTCAAGAAAGTTTTTCAATCCACAAGAGCAGCCAATGCAGGAAAGTTGAGTCCAAATTGGGAAGGACCTTACAAGGTTTGAGGTATCGCAGGAAAAGGTGCATATGAACGTGAAACCATGGATGGCAAGGTTCTACCCTCGAGTTGGAATGCTATTCATCTGAAAAAGTACTATTTCTAAGGAAAGGAAATACCCACGGTCAGGTATCTTTAATTACGATTTTTGTTTTTGAACAGTTAAAATTATACTAACAATTTTAGATGATAGGCAAAAAGCTAGCCCACGCCAAATGATGATATTAGACCTAAAAGACACGCGGAAGAAACATAATTCCCGGTCTAGGGTTACAGCTTTCCTGATGGAAATATAAAGGGTTAAGCAGTCTTCATCTAAGTTATACCTATGAGTCCCGTATGTTTTTCCTTTTCAGGAAAAGGACCGTGTGGAAGGAATAATCAAATGCTCGAGATTTCATGCTTCAAAGCTCAAACACTTGGGGGACTATATAATATATGTATAAGGAAGGCAGAGAAGATTAGAACAATTAGAATTCAAGTCAAGCCTAAAGTCTACTCAACAAATAAAAAGTTCAGAGCAAAGCTACGACCAAAAACACAAGCCTGATTCAAAAACCTATGAAGAATACACTCGTGGAAGTAAATTCCAAAATCTTACGAATGTTTAGGTTAAAGGCAATATTTAGTCATGAGTTGTCAAGATATAGCCTTCAATTTTTTGCAAACCTGTTGTAAAGAAAACAGTTACAAAAGAGTTATAGATGATACTTAAATACATGTAAAGTATTATTTAGTTCGAAAATTCGAATGATACAAAACTTTTCTCAAAGTCGTTCAAAGAAACCTGTGTGTTCCTATTTCTTCTTTCGTATGTTTACACCATTATGAAGTTGAGATGTCTTCTTCATTAAGTGTCGTATATAAAAGGGACCTCTTTTATAATTCGTGCTTGATTCAGAAAGTCACGAAATTAATAAAGCATTTTTAAATGCAAAAGGGTAAAACAAAAACCCGCATACTAAAATTAAAGTGGAAAGTAAAGCCCCAAACTTATAAAGAAAAAAGGCATGGGTAGACCACTAAAAGAGTAAAACAGAAACTCGAAATAAAGATATCCCAAAAGTTGAACAAAAACCTTTATAGTATCTTAATAACTTAGTTAAAACTAAGTATAAACGTAGTTCCAACTTAATTGTCTTCACAAAAAACCCCCGAAACGGACTAGGGGTATGATATTCCCAAAAAACATTACCCCTAAATGGGACCAGAGGTAAACCTTCAACTGTTCCACCAAATAAAAAAAAAAACAAACAACACTTCAAATTTTCTTAAAAACTTTTCACTGAGGGGCAGAATCTGAACAAGCAATGGTATCATCAGGGCCAGGACAGGCAACTTGAGCAGAAGGGGGTTGAACGGCCACTTCGCCAGGATTAGCCTCATCACCCTCGGGAGTATCAGCCACGGGTGAAGAAAAACTCTAGCTTTGCTGGGTTTTCTCAATTGTTTCCTTAATTTTTGCTATCTCAGCATCCAAGTTAAAACCTTCCCAGCTTGCCTCCATAAGAGTATCATGGTGTGAATTTAAAAAGGCCCAACTCACTTCAACAGCAGCCTTGTCCTCAAGATCTTCATAATCTCTCTCCCAATGCTCAATCTCATTCCTAAGCTCTTCCTTCTCAGCTAAGGCAGCATCATAAGAGGCCTGTAAGGGGGCAAATGAACTCTCCAAAAATTGAACCCTATCAGAAGACACCCAGAGATCTTCTTGAGCTTGGGTGAGCGTTTGAACAAGCTCACCA